CTGCTCACCTCTCCCCCTGGCCCTTTTTTGGGCAAAACTGGGCATTTGTTCCATTTGCTCTTGCCAACTGATCACCACAAATGCCCAGTTTTGCCAAAAAGGGGCCAGGGGGAGAGGTGAGCAGTAGGGTTTAGGGGGGCAAGAGGCAGACTTGGACCAGCCCTGTGCCGGGGAGGAGGGAGCTTAGGCAAGTGAATTGGGCTGGCTCTGTGGGGCGGGGGGAAAGGGTGAAAGGGAGAGGGGGCTCAGGCCAGCTCCATGTGGGAGGCTGTAGGGAGGGAGAGGGGGCATGGGCCAGCTCTACACAGGGGGCTGGGGGAGAAAGGGAGAGGTGGCTCGGCCAAGTCCGTGCAGGGCTCAGGCAAGTGGCTTGGCCAGCTCCCTGTAAAGGAGGGCAGGGGGAATATACTCATTCTACACAGGCTTCGTCTTCTGGCCTAGCCAGGGGTGGGACCTCAGGGGGAAGAGGAAGAGCAAGGCTGAGGGGCAGGTGGGACAGAGTGCTGGTGCTCCTGTGGGGCCCCCCAAATTGGCTGGGGTCCCTGGGCACAGGCCCCATATGGTAATCCACCACTGGGCCTGAGGCTTGTAGTTTGGGAGGGACAATGCTGCTCCCTCCCCCCAAACTATACCCATGTTAATAAGTGGGGGGCATGGCTCCTCTGGCACCAGTGCCCCCCTTCTACAAAGTCTCTGGCACCCTTAATCACAGCTGAACCCCTTAAAAGACACCCTGGAAATCAACTCTTTTCATAAGACCGCTGACTAGCATTTGTTGAGTTCCAACCACCTCCAGCACGTTTTCACTGGTTATACCTCTATCCACTGCTTCCCGGGACAGCGACCTCCAAAAAGGGATGACAGTGGGAAAACCTGGGTCACAGTGATGATTGGGAGCGATCACGGGGGTCAGCTGAAGCCCTGGTGAGACCCAGGGAGGCACTAACAATCCCAGGGTGGGCTACAGCCCTGAGTCTATATGGAGCCCATGAGAGCCGCAAGGCCCAGCCCAACAGCCAGCTTGGGCGCGCTCTGGCAACCCAGGTGGGCCTCCAGGCCCAATCCAACATGGCAGCGGGTAAGAGTTCTTTCCTCTACCCCTCCCCCGTCACGTGCTTAGCCGGCGGGACAAGGCTCAGTCAGAGCTGCCTGTGCCCCGGAAGTAGGGCAGAGTACACCGGAAGTGGAAAGCCTCCATTCCCGGAAGCGCAGGTGTTCCGGCCGGGCGGCTAGTGGCCAGAGGGAGATGGCAGCTGCCCGGCGCAGGAGGCAGCGATTGAGCTGGGCGGCGGCTCCGGCCCCCTCCCGGCGCGGGGGAGCGGGGTGATGGGATCGGGCCGCTCGCCCGCCGCCTTTCCGGTTGAGGAAGGTAGGAGAAGCCGCTTCTCACGGGGCGGGAAAGGGAGCGTCGCTGCCGGGCGGGAGGCTGCCCGGGGGGGTCGGCCTGGGAAAGCCGCCAGGGTGGGCGAGGCAGGCACACGCTGCGGGGAAGAAGGCTCATGGGGCTGCCCCAGGCACGCATCCGGGGAGGGGTCTAGCGGGGAGTGAAGCGGGTGCGTAGGAGACATGGGGAACGGGAAGACGAGGACCCACGTCTAGGAGGGGAACCAGTTTCGTGAGGGGTTCCTGGGACCGGGCCTGTTCCCGGGTGTGTTCCTGCGGGTTGGAGCGGGAGCAGCCCGGCGCGGGTACGTAGCCTGGGGGTGGCCGCTCTTTTAGGGGTCTCGCTGTGGGGTAGGGAAGATTCTTATTTTCTTCATCGCTTCAATTTCATCGTGTTGGGTCTATGCCACTCACAAATGACTAGATGGTGGATCATTGCCCCGAGGAGCCTACAGGCTACATTTAGTCTCTTGCATTTGCTCCTTACACCTGTAGAATTTTTAAAGGTATAGCTTTTGGCTATTATAATACATGCAGCTTATTAGAACTGACTCAGTTTTGTGGAGGCAGCATGATTGAGTGGTCTGACTCAGGAACTCCTGAAAGCCCAGCTCTGCCACGTGCCTGTTATATGACCTTGGTAAGCCACTTCATCTTTCAATTCCTCAGCAAGAGGGGAGTGCTGACAGTAAGGTTTCCTTAGCTAAGTTTCCTAAAGACCTATATTATGGAAGTACTACTGTTTTTTGTTGGCATCTTTCACTGAAAATCCTAGGACATCTTCCAACACAAATATGAGCAGCATCTAAAATTAGTTATTCAATGTAAAACTGTACATAGATAGTATCAGAGGGGTAGCCATGTTAGTCTGTATCCACAAAAACGAGGAGTCCGGTGGCACCTTAAAGACTAACAGATTTATTTGGTTTCAGAGTAGCAGCCCTGTTAGTCTGTATCTGCAAAAAGAACACGAGTACTTGTGGCACCTTAGAGACTAACAAGTTTATTTGAGCATAAGCTTTCATGGGCTACAGCCCACTTCTAAGGTGCCACAAGTACTCCTGTTCTTTTTGCAGATTTATTTGGGCATAAGCTTTCATGGGTAAAAAAACACATGGGTTTTTTTTAAACTTGTTTTTGTACATAGATAAACGTCTCTAAACTAAAGATGGCAACAAATGCCATGGGTGTAGAACTTGCACATGAAGGGATTTGCAGTAAAATGAAAATCATCAATCACAAATTTAATTTAAATCTAGATTTCATCTGAAATGTGTGTGTGAATGTAATTCTTTAAGTCTGGGCTTGTTCCGTGTAACAACATATTGAAAGTAATCACAAGTTTATACTTCCCTTATATTTACATAAATATAGTAAAAGAAAAATAATGGCTTAATTATTGGGGAAGTTTTGTGCCCAGGAGGACTGAAACTGGGGCATCATGCAAGTTGCAGGGGACCATCTGCAGCCACTTGATCTCTGTGGGAGGGTACCATATTTTAGCTCTATGGAGTGCTTTCTGACCAAAGTGTAGTTCGAAGTCTCATAGTCATTTAGAAGTGACTGGTGTTTAAGATCACATGTTTTTTTTAGTCAGCAGTAACTTGTGCTTTCTGACTGAATCTTATTTGGTGTGGGAGTGGAGGAACTGGAATAAATGTGTGGGTGTTTTAATACTAATTCTGGACACCTGTAACAGCTATACATAGAGAATCCGGCGATTCCAAGCAAGTAAACCAATAAATCATTAATTTTAGGGTTTCCAAGCAATGATCTCTACTGACTTTTCTAAACTAATTCAGAACGAAGGTTGATGTTCTGTCTGTAACTCCTGTTGTGTGAAGAGAGAGGGCAGAAAGTAAAATATGAGTTAACTCTGAATTTCTCAGGTTTTGTATTGTAGTTTTAATTATATCTGTGAATTTATTCAAGTTCCTTTGCTCCTTTTTAAAGGAAATTACCAATAGACAACTATAAAATGTCTAATTACTGGAAAAACTAGACTGCCACTAAGCTGTTGGGTAAACATATACTCTGGCATTTTTAATGCAGTAGTTACCCAATAGTTAACACTTCTTTTAAACCGTTTTGGATAATGTGGTGATTTAGAAGCATTTGACAGACAAATCTAAAATATTAGAATGAGGCATTCTGCTGACTTGTTTGACTTGTACTTTTAAATAATGTAAATACATGTTACCAACTTGATAGGAATATCTGGAATAAAACCCTCTTTTTGTTTGGTTATATAAATTTCTAGCCACAATAAGTACAACTTGGCAACTTTCCAGCCCTGCCAATGTTCCTCTAGTTCAAGGCTGAGGTACAACTTGTATATCTGTCACCAAAACAACCCCTCGGGGTAGCTGTTTGGCATGGACACTGGGAGCTAGACAGCTGTTATAACTTTGTTAGCTATTCATGTTAAAATCTGTTTTCAGTATCTTATGTATTATAGTTCTAGTCTGAAAATATACATATTAGAAATGCTCTTACGAGGCACTGAGCCTCTGCAGTATTTCTAACTCTCAATAAAGAATCAATTATATTAAATACCTTAAAACCACTACCAATTACTCATTCAGACCCACCTCACATCTTTGTAATACTGTGCTACCATGTAACCACTTTCTGTCCCCTCTCCAAATGTCACAGAAAAAGGGAAAACCAGCAGGTTTGGAAGACTTAGTCAGGTTCAGGTAGACCAAGGGTTGGTGGGTAGAGAGTATGCTCTGAAGTAGAGGACCCCTCGAAGATTGTGTTACAAAGAGTTCCACCTCCTTTACATTGGGGGCATTCCAGCTCAGGCTCCTCAGATGGCCATGACTGCAGTAATATGGTTTGAGGATAGAGGGAGTCTCAACCTTTTAGAACTGTAAAAGTCAAGGCCAGTGCTTAAAGCTCAAAGGAAATTAGTATAGTGTGTGGAGAACCAGGGCTAGGTGCTTCATATAAAAAATGCAAATTAAGAGAGTTCAGAATACATCAACCATCTTATAGGTGTAGCCCCAAGTAGGGCACACTACAGTAGTCTAATCTTGAGGCGATGAAGACATAAGTATAGCAGGTCTCCATCCAAAATGGGATTGCATTTGCCTTATCAAATGCAGATAGAAAAACGTGTCCTCTGACATGGCTGCTACCTAGGACCCCGAAGTTTAATAAGATCTTAAATTGCAAACCTGTCACTAATGGCCATTTAGTTAGTATTGCTAGTACAAGTCTAGCCAGTTTTCTTAGCCTTGTCACAATTAATGCTATTTCTGTCTTGTCAAGATTGAGCCTCAGCCAGCTAGCCCTTCGTCCAAGCCCCACTCTCCAGTAGACACTGGGCTATCCTTTTCCCTTTACCAGCAGAATCACCATAAAGGGGTTATGTAATACTATCATTAGCATGCTGTTGTGGTAATGCATGACACCTTTAGTTTATGTAAAGAAGGGGGGGGGGAACCAAAATCCCAAACAGGATGTACTTGTGCAGTAGTTGCTAGTAGTTATACTGTCATACTAAGTAATTCATGACCCAAACACTGGATTATATCTGTGCTGAATGCTTGTCTTGTTTTTGTTAAAGGTGCAGAGCATGGAGAATGATGAACTTCCGCCAGAGGATGGGATGGATTGGTGTGGGGTTGTATCTATTAGCAAGTGCTGCAGCTTTTTACTATGTCTTTGAAATCAATGAGACTTACAACAAACTAGCACTGGAGCACATTCAACAGCACCCTGAGGAGCCACAAGAAGGAACCACATGGACACACTCCTTGAAAGCACGACTGCTGTCCCTGCCTTTTTGGCTCTGGACTATTCTATTTTTAATACCATATTTACAGATGTTTTTGTTCCTTTATTCCTGTACAAGAGCTGACCCCAAAACTGTGGGCTATTGCATCATTCCGATCTGCCTGGCTGTTGTTTGCAATCGGCACCAAACATTTGTGAAGGCCTCTAATCAGATCAGTAGATTACAGTTGATTGACACTTAATTCAATCTCCGGTTTCAATAGCTGCTTCAGGAATGACACCTATGTCTGACCTAATCACACGACTGAAGTTCTGACTGGAGGTTGGAAAGAGCCTTTCCTTTCAAATGGCTAAATACTGAACAGTAGTTACTTTCTATTTTTTTTAATGCTTTTTTTTAAAGCATGGACCCATCATACTAGCCAGAATAGCAGAGCCCTGTGAGAGACTTGATGCCTTATGATGCAAAATTGCCACCCTCCCTCTGAAGTATCTTGGGGAAGTATGCTTCTGCAATCATACTCCACTGTGCAAAAAAGATTACGTGCAAGCTTTCCCTTTGAATCAATGAAAGTGGACACTTTTGTGGTAAATGTAAAAGATTAGAACATGCTGATAAAAGCTGCATTTAACACATTACTTTGCTTTCTCATTTTTTAAATACTATTGCACGCTTACAATTCTGAATTATCCTTTTAAAAAGATGAGAATGAAGTATGGCTGAACAGCTTTTTAGTGAGGATAGTCCTTTTCTCTCTGTCACTGAGTTACAGGCCACACAATACCATATTTTATTAGGCAGAAGTTGGGGAGGTGTGATGCCTTTAACATCTTTTCACTGATGCCAAAGAGAGGCTGGTAACTGGCAGGGGACTAGAGGTTCTACAAAACTCATTTTTCTTTATTTTCTTCTCCCTACTTTTCTCTTAATGGTAACTGAGTTCACTACTGTTGTGCTTCATTGCGTGAGTGGAACTAGAACAGCTTTTGGTGAATCAACTGTGCATTGGGGAACTACTATAAAAATGGGAGAATAAGATGTGTCCATCAACTCTTTGCTGAAACACCTGTGAGATGCAAACAAAAGGCTACAAGGATATCCAGTCTTTCTCCCAAATACTAAACAAGTGAGCTAAATAATCCCACTAATACAATGAGTACCAGACTTCTTATTTTCCAAAAACATGTAGAAGTATTACTGGTGGTTGTCCTATATCTTAATTTCACTCTCCATTTTCAGTGACCTTTTTGGCATAGCAAGTAATTCTGACAATTGGTTTACCATGCTATTAATTTAGAAGCATAGATTCTATGGCTAGAAGGGATTATTGTGATCATCTAGTCTGACCTCCTGTATAAAACAGGCCACAGAATGTCCCAAAAATAATTCTTAAAGAAGATCTTTTAGAAAAGCATCCAATCTTGATTTAAAAATAGTGATGGAGAATTCATCATGAGCCTTGGTAAATTGTTCCAATGGTTAATTACTTACTATTAAAAATGTACTCCTTATTTCCACTTTGGATTTGTCTAGCTTCAGCTTCCACCCATGGGCTCATATTATAGCATTCTCTGCTAGACTAAAGAGCCCATTATTAAATATTTTTTCCCCATGCAGGTACTTAGACTATAATCAAATCACTTCTTAATCTTCTCTTCGGTAAGATAAATAGATTGTACTCCAGTCATTGCTTCCTAGGATAGAGTTCCCTATCATCTAAGTATGGCCTACATTCTTTGTTTCTAGATGTATAGATTTAGCTATGTTAAAACACTTATTCGTGGCTTGTGGCCAGTTTGTCAAGCAGTCATCATCAGCTCTGAATCAGTAACCTGTCCTCTTAATTATTTACCACTCCCCCAATTTGTGTCAGCTGCAAACTTTATCAGTGATGATTGTGTTTTCTTCCAGGTCAGTGATGTTAAATACCATAGGGCAAGAACCGATGCCTGCAGAACCCCACCAGAAATACACCCGCTCGATGATGATTCCCCATCAAATTGAACCATCCTGTTTTAGTATGGCATATAGGCGTTTACTTGGTGGTTCCTTTGGTTTTAGTGGAACTCATTAAGTTTCTATTGTTGCTACACATTATCAAGGAGTGCCCGCTAACCAAATTCAGCAGCGGGCTCTGAGAGTTCCACTTGGCTCCTGAGAACGCCATTGCTTGGCTCGGCAAATATGGAAAGGCTGAATAACGATTCTAGCCCTTGTGGAGATAAACCAGTGCAGGGCTGAGTCTTCCAAGAGGCAGAAGCAGTAGGCCCAAGCCAAGATAGTTTATACCCCTTTTTGTGTCAGTTATGTGAATTCCACTATAATTATAATAAATGTTAACATTCTACTGAACTGCTGGAGCAGAATATCCACCTGTTCTGAGACTGACTGGATCTTGGGGAGACTACAATCACTTCTCCCTCTAGCTCTGCTTTCAGTGTTACCGTGTTTAAACACAGCAGCTAAAACATTCTTAAGCTTTCATTTGCGTTTGGAGCAATTGTTTCTGTGGTTTTAAATGCCAGCATTGCTGCTAAGAACTGAACATACACTCTACCCTTTACAAGAAAGCAAATGTAATAAAGTTCTAATGGCAAAGTGTAATATCTAAAGGAGTCTTGCAAAAGTGTTAAGCAGGAATGGAAGAATCAACCTTCAGAAGGCAGAGCTTTAATACTGTGATACAATTTCCTCATTTTTTTAATCAGTTTAAATCCATATAAACTTATTTTCCATGTTTCTAAAACTGGAGTATCTTCCCTACTTTCTATCATTACAGAGGGACCATGTAGATACCACTGAGACAATAGTTCCATTCATTGAAATAAGATGTTTCTAATATTGCCTTGAAAAATTCCTTTTGATTGTTTCCTCGTTAGCTTATCAGTGGAGCTTCTTCTAAGCGTTGGCTGGTAGCACTCCCAATAGCTAGCTTTGTCGGGCTATATTTCCCAATGCTTCCTAGAATGGCCCTTTGTCTACACTTCTGGGCAACATAAGCTAACACTGTCAAGCAGGGTACATAGCTCATGCCACCTCTGCCTTCCAACTCAGAAAATTCAAACTGGTTCAATAAGTCTGAATCCTTTTCTCAAACTCTCTTCCTTTACTGTATAGGATGTGAGCCACTGTGCCGATAGGTCTGGTTGCAATGGTGTAATTAAAAAAAAAAGTACATCTAGAACATGAATTTCAAAGTTGCCAGGTACAAAGAAGAAACTAGATCTGTGCCTCTGTAGGCAGGATCCTTTGCAGAAGAATGGCCTATGAGGGAGGAAGTTTCAAGGAGTAACAAAAAAAAGCAGTCTGATTCAATGTCAAGCAATCAAGTGGCCTTTCACAGATTAGTCAGCTCTTCTATGTAACAGGCTGAGCCTTGGATAGGGACAGCATGATTTCAGCAGTTGATGTTCATGAAAGAAGGCAGAATCACTTTGTTTATACTAGGAGATTCCGAGAACATCTGCTGTGGAAATAGCTATGCAGAGAAATGCATGAGCTGTAACATAATTGGGGCTATTTATGAATGATTTGATACTAAGAGGGCTAGTGCAGAGACTGCTCACCACTATTTTTACCACTCTACTGGCTAGACCTGCTTGGTGTAGGATTAGAGAAGAGGGTGGTAGAAATGCAGGGAGTTAGTCACCACCATTTCTAGCACCAAGGGAGCTGTGTCACTGGGAGATTTCCTTAAGAAATCAAAATGAATATCAAATTGTCTAAACAGCTACTTCAGTTAAAGAGTTATCTTTAAAAAGTAGTTTAACTATCCTAAAGGCTTTTAGATATTCGCTAGTGAGATTCTCACATGTAGAATCACAGCTTCTTTCCTCTAGAAATTGCATAACTTTAGACTTTTTAAATAATCTTAGCTTGTATTAGGGAATTTTATCATTGGGCTTTAAATACTGAAAATTTTCTAAAAGGTGGAAAAAATGAATTATTGTTAAGCTTCCAAGTTCATAATTATGGTGCAAAACCTTCTTTTTGGTCACACTGTTCATCAGAGAACAGCTATGAAGAATACAATAAGATCATGGGACTAAGACTACAGTTCTTCAACTTGCACTAGAAAATAGGAATTGTTGTAAAAGGGCACATGAGAGATCTGTGAAGTCCAATATCCTACCTTTGGTAATGGGTACAGTAAAACCTCAGAGTTACAAACTGACCAGTCAACCTCACTTGGACCCAGAAGAGCACAATCAGGCAGCTGCAAAGATGGGAGGGGGAAACACAAGTAAAGTACTGTGTTAAACATAAACTACTAAAAATTATGGGAAAGCATTTTTCTTCTGCATAGTAAAGTTTCAAAGCTATATTAAGTCAATTTTCAGTTGTAAGCTTTAGAAAGAACAACCATAATGTTTTGTTCAGAGTTACAAACCTTTCAGAGTTACAACCTCCATTCAAGAGATATTTGTAACAGTGAGATTCTACTGTAATACTTGAAGTTTCAAAAAAAGTCTCCTTAAAACAAAACAAAACAAAAAAAAAAACCCCCTGTTTGATAGGCCTTTCACTGCGAGGCTTTTTCCATGGCTATTTTTGGCATACGTATTGTTGTAGCTGGTTCTTGGGTCTCTTGTCCAACATTACATCCTTGTTGATCATCTCTGGTTTGACAACTTTACAGAAGTGGAGTTTGGTGTTCTCTTAGCCTTAAGAATGTATATTAACTACCAACTCTAGTCTGACCTCACCACACATGCATGGTGTAAACTAATGCATGAAAAAATGAATTGTTTTAACGAACATCACGTGTTTCATTTTAAAAAGTTTGCATCAGCTATGGTTCTACTTAAGCCCTAGAATGCAAGCTCAACTCTTGCAAGTGACTGAGTTATTGTGTAAACTAGCAACTTGAGCATCTTATAATTGCTACTATTTTTTAAGACTGCATTTCTTGAACTTTTGTGTCTTTTGGGACTAAATGCATTGTGAATGAATAACTTTTTTAAACAATAAAACCTTTAAAATTTTTCTGGTTTGGATTTTTGTTGGCTGGGGGAACAAATAGATTGTAATTCTCACTGAGAAGTTTGAAATTCTCAAAAGATCAAGTTTGTGCATGAGTTCTTATCCTCCATAAGATCTTGTACTTGCCTTTCAAGAAGTGGGCTAGCGCTTAGAGGACAATAGATGCATTTAACACTAACCTAAATAAGTCTAGTCTCCATTCTATGGTTCAATGTTACCTATTTTGCTGATGCTCACTTTTTAATTTTGGTCTTTAGACTGCACTATTCCTCAAATATAGGCTACTCAGCACTTCCTCTTGAGTGGATTCATGACATTACAGTGGAATATTTTTCATTATGGACTAACTTCCCTTTTCCATTATTCACTCCAGATAGGAATCAAGGCCTACTAGGGCAGCAGGCTCTGGCAGCAGCAGTCCTAAGGGAGTAAACACCAGGGAGAGCAGCCATAGTGGACAGATGCAGGGTAGGGAGTTAGGAGAAAGAATGATAAGACAGCTGTTCAGCCATGCAGTTTACATAGGGGCTGAGGAAAAGTGACCCAGCTGGGTAAAGAGAAACTGAGGAAGCCTGCACAAGTGACAGAAAAGACCACATCAGAATTGTCCTGTGGTTCCAGAAAAGAGGCCCAGAGCAGTGGTGATGCAGGA